TTGGCTTTGACAAGCCAGCCTAATGAGCAGATTAACACTAGTACTCCATTTCTTATATATAGTGATGTTTACTTCGAATAGAATGACATTATGCTATTTAATGAATTAAACCTTCATTAAAACACTTATTACACACTTTACTGTTGCTTTATTCAAACTTTAACAAATGTTGTTAATTATTTTCTTTGTTTTATTTATTTTATTGTCTGCTTACAGCAACGCTGTAGCACTTATTTGCACAAGACAAGAATTTCCTCTTGGGAACAAATAAAGTTTATCCTATCTTATTCAAACAATAGACCTTACTGTGAGTAAAATAATACTTCTTTGTATAAACGGTTAAAATAATATTGTCAACAGCAGGTACATTTAGCATTAAACGAACAACCTGAAATTTTAATCAGTCGGTTTACATCTGTGTAAAAGCTTTAAAACAAACCTTTCTCCAGTTGAATCACAGTGTGGGAGCGGCGCAGCCTTATGACATCACACCACCATGCCACAATAAAAGTCTTTTTTTTCCCCCATTTATTCTTTATCATGACTTATTGATACATTTCTCCCTCGTTTTCCACTTTACACTTTATCTGCTTTCTGTTTTGTACTTGTAAGACCATCATTACTTATGTTAATTGAATAAACCCATTTACCCCCACTAGATCTTTGCCTTCAGGTAGGTTGGAAAGAGGTTGCATTTTCTTTAAACGATTGCATTTCTTCATCCATAGCTTTAACCCATTTACTTGCATTCACTGATGTTACCACCTCTTTGTATGTTTGAATGGGGAAACATCAAATTCTACAAAATTGCCTGCCAGGTTCCAACCTATATATGTAATAGGTTGAAACTTATTTATAACCAAATAAACAAACAAAAAAACTAAACAGTTGTAAAGAAGCTTTTTAAAATGACTGAAGAACTTAATACAACGTTGAACAGTGCAACGTTGTTTAGATTTTACAATTTATAAGTGAGCATTTAGATATTATTTGAGTGTAAATTCAGAATGTGCAACTTACCTTTTCAGTCTTCAATGAAGAAGTGGGATGAGAAAAGGCAAGGTTTTTCTTTGTATGTTGTTGTTAGTAATAATCCCAATGTAGGAATCTACAATCGTAGTTTGTCCTCCAAAGTTGTTTTCTTATAGCAAAATAAGCCAATGAAGATTCTTTTAGGAACCCAGAATATATAGATGCAACCCTGCTGAGCTACTGGATCTGGAATGTGATTGGATAAGACTCAATTGGCCTCCATTAATGCTGGTATAAAGATGCAAATGAGCAATGGGGAGCAGTGAAGACTCAAGACACATACAGTGGGGGATGGGAAGTTCAGCAGCTTTACAAACCAGTTTTACAGAGAAATAATGATGTATTGGGAAAATAAGTTGACTTTAGCCATCTTCATTTGTTTAGCTGCTATTGTTTTATAGTACTATTGATGAAAGCTTTTTTTTTATTTTGGCTGCTGCATTTTGTAGTTAATGTTGATACACTTATGATATGTAACACATTTCAATTAATTTTTTCCCAAGCCTGGTTAAAAGGTAATGCAAGAGTTGTGTGTTGTTTTTGCAGAAGCTTCTCAGAGTTTCTTGGCTGAAGTATTTGTTTAAAGATGCAAATGAGCATTGAAGACTCAATTCATACCGATTTCTCAATACACACAACTACATTCACTTATATAATAGTTATAGAAGATTTATACTATTAAACTGTGATATATTATCATTCGTTGAAAGAAACAATTTCTAAATTTCACAGTGAAGTTTTATTCATGTTATGATATATTGACATGAGCTAATTATTAGCAATGTTTTAGTTATGTATTTATCACTGAACTTGTTCTCTATGTGAGTTTAGAGGCCTTTATTTCTCTTAAAGCACATGCTGCTCATTACTGACTTTTGTAATAGTCAACACACTCTTAACAGATCAATTATTTCTTTACAAAAATGTCTATAGATTTTAACTATTAAAATGTAACTTGTTTCTGTGCCAATTCTTTTTCTTTTTTTGCCTCTTATTTACCTGGTATGTATTAAAGATGTTTTCCCCTCTATTTATCACTTGTGTTTGTGCAAACAAATATGCATAGACATTCACAAAAGCATATATAAGATACCCTGTGACAAAACCTTTTCCTTTTAACACAGTAAAGCTATCACATACTGTGATGCATCTAAATATTTATAATCAGAAAATAATTACATCTCAAGTTAAATTATTGTATAGGCAGTTTATACAGAATAATTCAATGACAAGAGTTCACTTTCATATCTACAAAATGCAGAACTTTTAATGTGATAAACCTGCTTCATCTACACCAACTACAGCATTTCTCAGACTTCTGTTTCAATGTAATTACAGTGGTGAACATCACATAAAACAACAACTGCACTTACTCCTGTAACGTGTTTGCAACAATGAATTTTAAATATCTGTGTCACATATTCATTTAAATAAATGCTCATCATTGTGTGCAATCATCTTTAGTAATAGCTGCCTGACCATTAACTGAATAGGACCGTTTTACATATAAGAAACCCGTTAACATGTATAGCTGTTCATGCCAATACCAACTTGAAAGACTATTACATGAACATATTACATGAACAGGACCTGCCTTACATTCCTTAAGACAAATAAGCATAGTGTCTATAACAATACATGCTTGATTCTGCAGATCGCTACATGTGAATCGTGCCTTTTGACCTGTTTTAAAAATAACAACCATTTGTAAGCATAGTTCTTCACTAATACCAGTTTACCTCAAATAATTACACATGTAAGTGCAGTGGGTAGCTCGATCGCCTCACAGCAAGAAGGTCGCTGGTTCAAGCCTCAGCTGGGTCAGTTGGCATTTCTGTGTGGAGTTTGCATGTTCTTCCCGTGTTCGTGTGAGTTTCCTTCGGATGCTCTGGTTTCCCCAAAGTCCATAGACATGCGGGATGCATGCAGTGTGAATGAGTGTGTATGCATGTTTCCCAGTAATGGGTAGCAGCTTGAAGAGCATTCGCTGTGTCAAGCATGTGCTGCATAAGTTGGCGTTTCATTCCACTATGGTGACCCCTGATTGATAAAAATAATAAAAATAAATGAATACATGAGTAATATCACACGAGTAGCAGTGCGATGTAGCCTTCTATCAGTTTTTGTATTTCTATTTGTTGTAATGGCCTGTTGTTATTGCAATAAAAAAATGAATAAATACATTTTAAAAAAGCAGTGCAATGTGGCTGTAGGCTGTATATCAGCACTGATGGGAGGCGTGTTACAGTGTACACTAAGCACTCAAGAACGATTGTCCCTCTACCTGTTGTTTAATCTCCTGAGAACTTTGCTCATCTTCAGAACTCAAATGAAGACACTTTAGATGAAGTCAGAGAGCTCCTTCATCTGTCATAGACAGCAAAAGTCCCGAGATGCTCAAAGTCCAGAAAAGGAACCAAAAATATTTTTAAAACATGTGACATATGACTTTAGTGGTTCAATTGTAATCGAGTTTCAAGAACATTTTGTGTGCAAGAAAATGTTGAAAAAAGCAGCCAGGTCCAAAATGAGAACAGCTAAACCATGTCTGTTTTTGCCTCCGTATTCTCTTCATTTGCATTCAGCAGACGAAACTCAAACAGGTTTGGCTCAAGTAGAGGATGAGTAAATGACAAAATTGTGATTTTTATGTGAACTATCGCTTTAATGCTTCTGTAAGTAAAGGTAAATTAAATATTATTACTGAAGATATTGCTAAAGAATGGCAGGAAACGTGGAACACAGATAACAAGAGACGACAATTCATGTGGAAAAAAGGAAACTCTATATAGGCCTATGATGTTGTAGAAATAGAAAAGAAGAGGTTATAATTATAAGGATGAGATTTGGACTCAGATATTATTTATTCATTTTCTTGTCAGCTTAGTTCCTTTATTAATCTGGGGTCGCCACAGCGGAATGAACCGCCAACTTATCCAGCAAGTTTTTACACAGCGGATGCCCTTCCAGCCGTAACCCATCTCTGGGAAAACTCAGATATTAATAGGAAGTAATGTGTTGCAGACATACAAGTCATCATAAGTGGATTAAAAAAGTTAAGAAAATGTTTAGATTTAAGGTTTGTGTGAGAGAAAGCAGATATAGTGTAAAGTAAAAACCATGGGAGAAATATATCAATAAGTCAAGACTGCAAAAGTAAGTGGCAAGAAAGCTAAACAAGAAAAGACTTTTATTTTGGCGTGTGACGTCATCAGGCGCCGCCGCTTCAGCGCTGTGATTCAACTGGAGAAAGGTTTGTTTTAAAATGTTTACACAGATATAAATCGATTTAAAGTTAAAGTTCGAAGGTTTTAGTTTGTTATACGATGCTAAATTATGTTCCTGCTGTTGGAAATATTTTAATCCTTTATTCAACGTAGTACTATTTTATTCTCAGTAACCGAGGGCTATTGTTTGAATAAAGTAACAGAAAAGTGTGTAATACGTGTTTTAAAGAAACGTTTTGTTTATTACTCTCATATAAAGAAACCGTTGAAGCAAGTGTTGAAGAGAAGTTATTTTGTTTCTGTTCATTTTTTATCTATTTTAAACAATAGAGATAAAGTTGGTTTTATATTCACACATTCGTTCATTTAGATGTCTCTATATTGTTTACCATGTTACTTTGAATATTCGAGTGGAATTAGCATGCCAGTATGACTTGAAAACAACATTAACACTGTTTATTTGACTGTGAACAATGTTGTACTTTGATAGTCATTGGCTGCTTATATGTTTTCACTATTTAGATTTTGCAAATAATACTTTAATGAAATTATATTATTAAGGGGAAAGTCTGAATGTGTAAATATAAAACCAACTTTACCTCTATTTTTAAACAGGGCATTTTTATTGTTTTATTCGTTTTAAACAGGATAAAGTGTCCAAACAGAGAAAAATTCCTGCTGAAGCGACTGATCTCCACACTGTTATAAAGATGGCGTTTATTAAAGAGGAGAGTGAAGATGTGAAGATCGAAGAGACATTCTCAATCAAACAGGAAGATCTGCAGGAACAAACAGGTTAGTTTTCATTCTCAAAGACCAACTCAGTCATATAGAGGTAAAGTTGGTTTTACACATTCGTTCATTTAGGAGTCTCTATATTGTTTATAGCATGAAAGTATAACTTGAAATCACAGCATTTGACTGTAAACAATGTTATACTTAGATAGCCATTGACTGCTAATTTGATTTCACTATTTAGAGTTTGCAAAAATAATTTTATGAAATTATAATATTAAGGGGAAGGTTTGAATGTGCGAATATAAAGCCAACTTTACCTCTATAATTAAATCCATCTTGCAGCCCCGAGTTTGCTGCCTAGTTCTCCTAAATTCACATAAGCACTCATTGATAAACAGGAATGAGTTTCATTCGTTACTTGTTCCCATGTTTTTTGTCATTATTTTATATATTATTAGTCTCCCATTTTCTCTACCTTCTTAAGGTTATTGCTTTCCTTGTTCTTCTACTGTTGGTAAAGCGTCCTTGAGCACTGGTACTATATAAAATAAATAAATAAAAACAATAAATTAAAAAAGTTTAACTGAGATGAGGGCGAGGCAGTGGCGCAGTAGGTAGTGCTGTCGCCTCACAGCAAGAAGGTCGCTGTTTCGAACCTCAGCTCAGCTGGCGTTTCTGTGTGGAGTTTGCATGTTCTCCCTGCCTTCGCGCGGGTTTCCTCCGGGTGCTCCGGTTTCCCCCACAGTCCAAAGACATGTGGTACAGGTGAACTGGGTAGGCTAAATTGTCTGTAGTGTGTGTGTGTGTGTGAATGTGTGTGTGGATGTTTCCCAGAGATAGGTTGCAGCTGGAAGGGCATCCGGAATATTAAAGGGACTAAGCTGACAAGAAAATGAATGACTATAACTGAGCTGTCGATATTTGACCTACAGTATAGTAGTATATCATAGAAGATATCTGCTATTACAGTGATAGTGTTGGTATAGTACTTTCCACTTGCATATGTCACGTTGATCACAATTCCCTTTTTTCATCAACTTCTTTATGCGGTTAAACTGTTAGAATTACATCATTATTATAATACCTAATTACCAGGGCTAATAAAAATTTTAGGCCTTAAAAAGTCTTACATTTACTAAAGTATTGTGTTGTAGGTCTTTATTTTTATTTTTTTTAACAAGTCTACATTTTCCTCTATTCATGTTTTGCTACTCAGCTTGTCCAAAATCACCAACAATCCATCTCAATAAAACTTAAAATTACCTTTTTAAATAAAAAGTTTAAACTCTATTTATCATAATAGTTTAATTATTTTTTCTCACAATAACTTTTGTTTAAATAAGCTCCATGTATTTACTGCTGAGGATATCGACTTGCATAGATTTATTTTATTATAGTTTTTAAAACTTTTCAAAATATTTGTAAATTTTTTAAAATAATTTTTTAAAGGTTATTTTAAAAAACATTTACAAAACAATACAACTAGAGCTTTTGTTAAGAAATATCGAAAATATAGTTTTTTTTTTTTCATTATTCATTTATTATTGTATTATTAAATAAAAATATATATTTTTTGAAAGGGCAAATTAAAATCTTTTCCATCTGGGCCATTTGAAAAATTTCTTTATGTCAGAAAGCTTGGATGCGCCCAATATTAAATATGCTGAATGAAATGGACACTAAAATAATTAACTGTTATAAAACATTGTACAGTATTCTAAACTATATGATGTTGTTGAGGGACGACATGAAGCAAAGCTAACAATTTATAGTGGAACAATAATGTTTAGCATTGCACTGACTACAACTGGCCAACAAACTAGTCTAAAAAAGACTTTTGCTGTTTAAGAAATGGATTACAGCATGCTGATGATATGCAAACATTTGAGTGTAAAGATTGTCAGTATTGACCATATTCTTCACGTACCAGCAGGTGCCGCCATTGGACGGCATTAGGAACAGGACAATGACACTTTTCAAGGTATACCGCGGTTTAAAAAAAGTTTTAAAACCATTATTTCTGCTGTACCATCCCTACGTTTTTTTTTTTTACATTTTGATTGAAGATTTTCAAGACAACAGTGTCTCCAGGAGAAAATATATCCAAAGATGCTGTTTTAAATAGTAAAAAAAAATAATTTGAATTATTTAGCCTGACATGTTTACTGCTCCAAAATACTTTCAAAGTTTCTCAAGTGAAAATATGTTGTGTTCAAAGGGGAAAAAAAGTTTAGGTTTTTAAACCAGACATTTAAAAAGAATATATTTATAAATGGTAATCACAGTACTGAGAAATCATGATATTTTTAGTCAAGTTTATCACACCGTCAGAATCTTATACTGGTCTGTGACGGACTGAGCCAGCACATATAGTAAGGGGCATACAAAAAGTAGATTTTTTAAAATAATTATTTTTAATAAAGTCAAAAAATTTCTCAAAAAATAAATAAATGAAACAATTAAATCAATTGAAAAATCAATAAACTAAACAAAGAAAACAAAACTGAGTTCAAACCAAACTAATCATGAATAAACCAAAAACAGAACTCCTTGAAATGACAAGACTGACCACATTTATACCAGAGGGACTAGTCCACAGTAAACAAGAAGGGGGAGACAAAAACAGACAACAACAATAAACTAAGTCAAATATCTAAATACAAATCTAAATATTAGTAAAATAAATTCTAAATGAAGCAAAACTAAATATAAATCTGAACAAACACTGCAAATCATTAATGAACTTAAACTAAAGATCAGCTCTCCCTCCAAGCCATTAAGCCAATGGTATCGATTGGCGGAACCAATAGATGCCACTTGGCGGCACGTCTGCCCTTTAGTTTGTCGGACTACATCCAGAAACTCCGTTCCTCGTCGACACTGCAGCACGGTAACTTAAACTTAAAACAAAACTAAATTGACAAAACATACACCACACTGGCCATCACATGGTCCATGCTTAATGCTGCTTGATGTTGCAAAGTCAATCATTCATTCATTTTCTTGTCGGCTTAGTCCCTTTATTAATCGGGGGTCGCCACAGCGGAATGAACTGCCAACTTATCCAGCAAGTTTTTATGCAGCGGATGCCCTTCCAGCCACAACCCATCCCTGGGAAATATCCACACACTCAATCATACACACACTCATATACTACGGACAATTTAGCCTACCCAATTCACCTGTACCGCATGTTTTTGGACTGTGGGGGAAACCGGAGCACCCGAAGGAAACCCATGGGAAGGCAGGGAGAACATGCAAACCTTCTTGTGGTGAGGCTACAGCACTATCTACTGTGCCTCTGCTTTGCCCCTGTTGCAAAGTCATATTTTCTAATTTAATTATTTTTCTTTGTATGTATAGTCATGAACACATTTTTTTGTGGAGAAAGTAGCCGTTTATTAGTCCTAGTCATTTCTCCAATAGGCAACTGAAGCTTTAAAACAATAGCATATGAGATTAGGGCCCCATTTCAGAAAGGAGGTTGAGTGAAAACTCAGAGCATTTTAACCCTGAAATGAGAGAAACTCTGGTATTTGCGTATCAAAATGGCAAGTTTGTGAAATTCGAGAAAGCAGGGTAAGTCAAGCCTGTTTCTGAAAGAGAGGTAACTTGGTAACATACTCTGTGAACCTAACCTGGTCAGCAGGTTTTATTCTCTTTACTCTGTTTTGAGTTTCTGTCGGTCTCCTTTTCTTTTTTTTTTAAAATGAAGCAGTATTTCTCACTTAGCCTTACATATTCAGCCACCTATTTTTATGTGCATATTGGATAGGCTATGAGCGTAAAAAAAAAACAGTTGATGGAAACATCATGATGCACATAACTTTTGAAATATAGGCATGAAAAAACATGCGCTAAATCTTCACCACATGTTCATTGTGTGCTGACATTGTCCTCTGAGGTGAAAGTCATTTATTAAACACAGAAAAGATTCATGTAGCTTCTCCTACCGCAGTAAATTCTGTTTTTACTGTTGAGATTTGGCGCCAGTTAATCAAGAAGTGACGATTTTGTTCTTTTTAAGTCATTAAATGGAAACGCTGATTTATTCATTCATTTTCTTTTTGGCTTAATCCCTTTATTAATTGGGGCAGAATGGACTGTGTACGTTTTGTTCATTTGTTTTCCATTTTTAAACGGAATAAAGGAAAGGAAAAAAATGGCCGTTTTTCTTTTGCTCACAAGAAAACGAAAAAACAACATTTTGGCTGGATTTTCGTTTTTTGGTTTAAGGTAGGAAAACGGATAAACAACTTTAAAATTCATTTTACACATGTAGGCGGTGCTGAAATGGCCACTTTCCTCTAATTGGTCAACTATTATTATTATTATTATTATTATAACCTTTATTTTACCAGGGAAGACACATTGAGATTAAAAATCTCTTTTACAAGAGCGTCCTGGCCAAGATTAGGCAGTACACAAGTCACATGAGTCCAACAGACAACAAACAAAAAACTATTTACATTTAACATGAATCACACCGACAACTATTCAAAACATCTACAAACCAGTTTCAACTTCTAAAACTTTTTAAAAGCATGTAGTGAAATCAAGTCTTTGAACTGCAACTGTGTTTGCAGATTATTCCAAGCAAAAGGTGCTGCGTACTTAAAAGCCTTTTTTCCCATCTCAGTCCGCACTTTAGGGATAAAGAGTAAATAAATATCCTGTGAGCGAAGACCATGGTTAAGAACAGGCTTTTTACAAATATAATTCTGGAGATATGATGGGAGTAAACCCAGTATAGATTTAAACTAAATCTGAGCTTGTGACGTCCCCCTTAAAATAAAAGCCTTACACGCAGGCTTTTAATTATTATTATTTAATTATATATAAACAAAGTTTACATATTCTATCATTTGAACCACACACAGTTAGCAGGCTTACATTCATTGCACATGTATAAATTAAATAAAAATGTAAATTAGCAGTATTCTTAGACATTTTGTCATTAAAATAAGGTCATAGTTTACTGCCAAGTTTCTTGCTGCTGTGCACCTGATGCTGAGCAAAGATGGCCATTTCCGAGCAGCACCTGGTTTGTATGATTGTTTCAGAGCAAGGGCTTTATAATAATAATAATAACAATAATAATTATTATTATTATTATCACTTAGTAGTGTTTTTATTGTTTAGTTTTTTTTTTCTTTTTAATAAATGTTAACAGATCAAAAATAAGAACACATTGGGCCCTGCTATAAAAACAGGTTACCATTTGTTTTTGTTTTTTCCTATTTTAATTATATATTGAAATTATTTCTTTGATAATTAATACTATTTTTTTGCAACGCTAAAGTAGGCTTGTCTTATTATTTTTTGTAATTTGCTGTTATTGTAGGCTACATGGCAGGCTTTGCGAAATTTTTTAAATAATATATACTCATAACCTTACTAATTCGAGAGCCGAACCTAAAAAAGTTTAAGTGCAATAAGCCTGTACAATAAAGTGAGCTGCAATGCATATTTGCATATATGAATGTCTTATCTGCCTAGCTAATCCATTGCAATATTGCATGTTCCACTATTGCACTGTGTTGCCATTTGGCAACACACACATTTGATCGATTTACAAAAAAATTATTTGATAAAAAAAAAAATTTGAGTTGTGAATGTCATCATATCTTACTGGAGGTGATGTTTCATGAGGAGGTGATTTTTTTTTGTGGATCTAACATAATTTGATACTTTGTTTTTATTGACGTTTGCATTTGCATTTAGCAACTACTCACAATAAATGCCAGTCTGTCAGAAATCGCGCTACAGAAAAACACTGGATGTCATGTGACTTAACCAAAGCACATCATTGGCTACACAAAGGTATTCTCTTTCAAACAAAAAAATTATGTTGGTCTTAAAGAAATAGTGGCAGGGAAATGAACATAAGTATCATGTTGCCATATGGTTAAACCGTGCAGTAGAGGGCTAGTACTTGTGTGTATTTGCATGTCTAAAATATAAAATAAGCATTAGACAGTTAAAACACTGCATAATTGTGATGATATGATGAGCTAACTTGTCATGCTTGTCACGCTGGATAATGAGTAAAACACCAGCACCAGGGACAACAACATGGTCCTCACTTCAAATTGAAAAATAATTTGTAGTGATTTACCCTGATCTCCCTTCCTCCTCATCCCTGTCTTTGAGGCGCTGAACTCATTATCAGTGCGAGAGATAAGTAGAGAGAGACTGTGTTCACTCCTCTCCACGCTGAACTGAAGTGTTTTTTTTTTTAAACATTCAAATGTCTGTGTCGCGCGACACAACGAATCGATTATGAAATTTGTTGCCAACGCTTTTAGTAACTGATTTTTATTGGTTTTGTTGTTGCAGCCCTACTAAAAATATTGTTATGCTGTTTAGGCATGGAACGATAACCACTTTTAATGTATAAAACCGCCAAGTGGTAGTTTTTTAGGACAACAGTATCTCCAGCAGAAAAGATATCCAAAAATGCCTTTTTAGATGGCATTTCTGCATATTGTCTGGTATATAAATTGTCACCACGTAGGTCTTAAGCAAAGCCTCAGGACATGCACAAAGGCAAGAAAACAAAGGAAAAAGTTCAAATGAATGAAAACAAGTAGCAAAGTATGTCATCTTGCAATCTTATCACTTCAGTTTACAGCAAACGGGGCACTAAGCATTTGCATAAGTTCATTCATTTTCCTTCAGCCCAGTACCTTTAATTATCAGCAGTTGCCACAGCGGATTGAACCACCAACTTATCTAGCATATGTTTTAAACAGCGGATGCCCTTCCAGCTGCAACCCAGTACTGGGAAGCAATAGCATAATTTAAATACAATAATGCAGCCTTACTAATATAAGCGTGAATTATGCGTACCTGCAAGCAAGTCACAAATGTTTTTAATCGAGTGGAAGATGTACATGAGGGAACACAACACAAATAATCTAGAGCGAGTGCATTTGATCATTTGCATTGACAGCCACAGGCACAAAAAAACTTGGTTTTCCTCTGACCTCCAAAATGAAATATTCTGCAAGGTATATGATCTGATTTTGAGCTGAAACCTCAGACACATTCTGGGAACACCAAAGACTTATTTTACATTTTGTTAAAAAAAAGGGTTAATTATAGGAACCCTGTAAAGGGATAGTTGATGCAGAAATGAAAATAGCCTCACCATTTACTCTCCCTCGTGTGGTTTTAAACCTTAAGAGTTTCTTGATTCAGCTGAACACAAAAAAAAAGATATTGTGGAAAAACTAGTTTTCTTTGTGTTCCAGAAGAAAGGAAATGTTTAAAACTGCAAGATGGAGAGTAAATGGTAATTGGTCATTTTCATTTTTGGGTGAAACATCCATTTCATGCTTCTCGCTTTGAACCTTCATACTAAAGTTCACTTTTTTTCATTTAAAGACCTGATGGTGTTGAAAGAAGAGACTCATCAACTGAATGTAATGGAAGAGAAACAGCAGTTTGAGAAACACCAAGTAATAACGACTGATGAAAAACCCAAACTGACTGAAAAGACTTCATCACGTGGAAGACCTCAAAAATCCAAGTCTATGAGTAATTACAGCTGTACACGGTGTAGAAAGAGTTTCAGTAAAAAGTCAAACCTTGATATTCACATGAGAGTTCACACTAAAGAGAAACCTTACACCTGCAAACAGTGTGGAAAGAGGTTTGGTTATATACAAGGCTTTGAAAACCACATGAGAATTCACACTGGAGAGAGGCCGTACACATGCCAACAGTGTGGAAAAAGCTTCTATCATGCAGGAAATTTTGCAGCGCACCAGAGAATTCACACTGGGGAGAGGAAGTATACATGCCAACATTGTGGAAAAAGCTTCTCTAAAACAGGAAACTTGGCAGTACACATGAGAATTCACACTGGGGAGAAGCCTTACTCTTGCTCTCAGTGTGGAAAGAGTTTTAAGCAAAATGTCACCCTTAAAATCCACATGAGAACTCACAATGAAGAAAGAATTTTTACCTGCACACAGTGTGGGAAAAGTATTTCTCAAAAGCACTACCTTGACATCCACATGAGGATTCACACTGGAGAGAACCCTTACACATGTACAGAGTGTGGTAAAAGTTTCCCATATAAAGGCTCACTCAAACACCACATGATAAGTCACACCGAAGAGAAGCCGTTTGCATGTGCTCAGTGTGGAAAGAGCTTCACAACCAAAGCTAGCTTCATGAACCACATGGATGGTCACACTGGAACCATAGTGTTCACATGTGATCAGTGTGGAAAGAGTCTCACACGCAAAGACTCTATGAAGCAACACATGAAGACTCACTCAGGAGAGGATCGTTTTAGATGCAGTGAGTGTGGAAAGGGCTTTAAATGTAAAAGAAGTCTTAGCACTCACCTGAAGCTTCACAATGGAGAGCGAAAATGAGGCCTTGTCCAGCGGAGCTTGGGGCTCTCTCCCAGGACAGCATGTCAAACAAGTGTGAACTCTTGAATACATATCAAGTTACTGATAATGAAACCCTTGGAACACCTGAAGATTTAAACTCAATAACTGAATAGGGGTAAAGATGTACCAGGTTGTGAGAGTTTCTACCAGGCTGCATAAAAAGCTAAATACCTTTATATGTGTTTCAAGTTATTATGAACTGATTATTTTATTTTGTGCAAATTGCACACTTCAAACAAATTTCGGCTCTGAATATAGAATTAGAAAGATTAGGGAGGAGAAAGTGTTTAGGGAGATGCAGGGAACACTGTCCTACACTCTTAAGCCTGGTTTATACTTGATGCGTCCGCTTGTTTGCTTGAGTGCATGCAGTAAATGTGATGTCATCGCGGAGTTTGTGGAGGTTTGCTTTGAGTGCGTGTGGCATAATTTCAGCCGGCGGAGTGTATGTTTTTTTTTTGAGACTCAAGCAAACAGTGCGTGCGGCGACAGATTTTGATTTGAGTTGAATATGAATCACTTTGAAGAGCATCTGAAGACATCTTTATGGGCGAACAGTACGCAATGGTGCCACATTTGAGACTTTGCCTGAAAAGTACATCTGCACATACATCCTTATGATCCATGATCATAGAGATCACCAAATGACCAATAATTATTGGCTAGAAATTGCAACAGCCGTGGGAAAGAGGACAGTTTTTGTTAAAAAGTTTGGAAAAACCTGAGGGATGTTTGTTAAAGCCAAAGAGGCCATGGCAAAAGTAGAGACCCAGGTACATAATTACTGAATGTGTTTTTTCATTAGTCGTAGGTTTTACACTGATTAATACATTACAGTTTTGAATTTAAAACAATTTAATATTAAAACTATAATTAAGGAACAAATTATTTTTTTGATAACCGGAAAGGAATATTTGACCCTATTGGTTTACAATACACTGATGCCATGTTTTTCTAGGCTTTATTGGTGATCATGGTCAGAAGTGTTGGACCATTTTAGCATAAGTATAGAACAGAAACTAGCCAGACAGTAATGTGTGAATTGTGGAGTGGGCTAAATCTAAAAAAAAAAAAACATGTACTTTTTAGTAAGTGTACTTTTTTGCTTTTATTTTTGCCATAATAAAATATATTTGTAGAGCAGCCCATGTTCTCTTGTCATTAATATTTTAATAAACTTCAATAGGTAAAACTGTCTGAGATATGAACAAAAGAAAGTGATGCATCAAAGTTTGATTAAAAAATTCTTGAATGGTTCTAAAAATGCTTATAATAATTAAAATAACTTATAAAAACAATAAAAATAATTAGCTTAAAAATCTTGAATGATGGTAATGATATGACGTAGTTCCGGGAATTTTCTACTTCTTTGTTTATTTATCTGACTTCATGGTCAGATTCTTTTGACCGCCCCCTGTCGTTTTAAAGAATATCACAACAAAGAATGCGGTGAGTATAAAAGCCTTGTCCGCGTCGTGAGGTGTGCGCGCAGTCAGAGGAGGTGTGCGATGTGGTGCCAGGTGAAAGTATAGCTTTAGATTGTGTTTTCGATCATTCACATAGTCGGATTTCACTCGTGTGAACAAACAACTATTTGCCTCAAGTTTTGGGCTTTTGTCTGCAGTTTCACTAAACTTGTTGGCGAATGAAAGTCCGCCTAAACTTCTGCGGTGTAAACTTGCCATAAGGCAATGACTGTGAGCAACTGAAGCAGACTCCCTAAAGCCCTGTTCAGACTACACAATGCCATTTGCCTGTTACGACAGATGAGATTTGTGTCAGATTATGAGATTTTGACTTGATCAAATCTTGATGTGTTGTGGGTAACAAATGAAGACTGGTTTCAGAACACTACAAGTTTATTTTTATGGACTGATTTGAGAAAAGAAACAAGTTTTCTTCATGAAGACAATTAAACTGTCTGTACACGACTGGTTGCCTTTAAATATATGTTCATGTGAAAACTCCCACTTTACTACAAATAAATTGTTGTATGGGAAACCCAGTGTCACTATTGTGAATGAGAACATAAGTAATTTGTTGTAATTCCAGTACTCAACAGACTACTGAAGCACTTAATTTATGAATGAAATGATTTATAAAGCTAAAAAGGTTATTAACCAGGTAATGCTGTGTACAATTTTTCTTTAGTTTTACCAAATTTAACTAGTTAATAGCAAAAAAAAAAAAAGGGGTTTACATGGATATTGACATGAGACATTCTGTCATGTACATGAGTAAATGCAATTGTAGAAAATATGCTCAGTGTTTTCAATATGACTTTCACAAAATTGACAAAAGTTATCCTCAGTATCAAATATTAATCTCAGACATTATTTTGATGGATACACATCATTAATCATTTTAAACTGAAGCTCTTTAATTTTGGGCAGAATTGGATAAGAAATGTAACTTGTTCTTATTTTTTTCTAATTCCTGTGAATTAAAATATTTAAAAATGAAATGAGGTCTGATCTTATTAGGATTAAGCTTTTGAATAAAAAAAAAAAATCCTTAAAAACTTACTACATTTTGGATCTTTAAAATATAAAGTGACCAAAAACAGAGATGAAAGAGAAAACATTACAGAATAGTGTAAAAGAATACCTCTGATCAATACTATTATGTTTTTAGGAATAACATTAACAATTGTGTAAAACTCTTTAGAATGACAAAAAAAAAACCAAACAAACATGTTTTAAGCAAAAGTTTTTGTAATCAAGAATGTCACCATGGCTATTCTTCCTATCCAATAAAGAAAAAAAATCCTAAAATAAAGACTTATTTCGATATAAAATAAAATGACTGTTCCATAAACAAGTTTTATGAGAACTGAAATTGTGCTTGTCTCAGCACAATATGACCTGCTGGTGAACAAAGACCAAATTTAAGGTTTATTTGGGCTGGAAGTGGGTTATCATTATTTCACTGCTATCAGAGTCAGAGATAATTCTATACATTTATATTTTGTGTTCTCTAGATTTCTCATGTGAAATTAAAATTCATGCAAAAGATTTTTTTATAAGATCTTATATCACTGATGGATTTATGTTATTCATTTAAATAAATGTGTATAATAATAATAGTGTTATAATAATGATAATACCTTTATTTATTTGTAATATTATTATAATTAAAATGACCGACAACTTTGCGAGCCTTGACCAATGCATTTACCAAGCCGCTGTCAGCAAGACTCACTGTGACACTTCTCTGCAGCATGTGAGCGACACAGTTTATATGAACACATGAACTGTAGCTGACAGGAGTTAAAGGGCCATGAAACCCCCTCGTTTCAGCAGGGTGTTTTTACACCTCTACTTTGGAAAAAGTCAGAAAAGTGGGGGTGTCCAGGAGTGTAGGAGGAACTAAAGTGAGATGGTGTGGGAGTGTCTATTTGGGCACGCGTGAGTTTCAGTCAAAATACACACACAGGAGAAAGTGATGGTGTTTAACCTACATGGACATCTGTAGTGGAATTATTTGCCAAATTATTAAATGGTGGACTTTAACTGCAGTTTGGCTCTTTCATTCAGGGAATTCATTCATGCCCCTCGCGACAAACGAGATATTTGATTCGAGGATCTGCTCTAAGCGTGTATTTTTCATGCAATGTTTGATACCGCACGGCGAATGAGAGAAAAAAACCTCCGTATTTCCCGGAAACTTAGATGCACACGGCAGGTAGCGTCAGAAAGCCGCGTGTGTTATTCCGGTCACAAAATGCGGTTAAAAACCCTACACGAGGTTAAAGTTTGGTTGTGGTCCTAACATGTTACGGTGCAATAGTTAACTTAGTTCGATACGAACACACTGAAAAAACAAAGAGCACTGGTCGCTCACTTACCAAATCTGTAGAGACAGGACAATCACCAGCAACTAGAGCTGCGTCTTTATTAAGAGAATACTACAAGCGAATCCGGATCTCAGCGTTTGCAGATGAGAACAGCACTCAGGTAAACAATAATCCTCCTTAGACACGCAAGTTATTGTTGTCTAGCATCGCGTACACTGTTAATCCACACGTGAGTCTGAGCTCTCACAGAGAGAAAAAGAAACTTAACGGCAGCAAACTATAAAAGCAACACTTCACGCTTGTTTTGCCAACACAACGTGGCGTCTATGTCGTGTAAACACAGTAATAAATATTAATGAAGTTGCACAATAGAGCGCGCTGATTGGTTTGAACCAAGCCTTACTCATGCATTAATAATGCATCACACTGTAAGACGTAATAAGACACACTCTGGCACAGACGCCCAGTCTGCACGCTGGAATACAACGCTATTATGTCATGACCGTGACGTAGCTTCAAAAATTCGTTTCAAACAGGAAGTACGAATTTGCTTGAAATAACGCAAAAACAACCAATTTACACTTTTTAGTGAAATATAGGTGCCTTAATAGTGTTTTCAGCAGTGTGGGACACATATATGACTGTCAACAGCTCAAAAAATGTGTTTTGGTGTTTCGTGACCCTTTAAAGCTGTGAATGAAGACATGCAATCGTTAAAAGAAATTGTAACCTTTACTCTTACCAACCTAATTAAAGGCAAAGAAAAAGGGGGTAAATTGTTTTTTTACAATTGAGAGAGATAGTGATGGTCTGACAAATACAAAACATGGTATTTTGCCAAATGGTACAGCCAGCAAAAAGGTGTGAACTATGACAAGATTTTTTCTCCAACTTCTAACATGACTAGTATAAGAGTGTTAATGCAAAAGCTGTGCAAAAATATCTGATTGTTCACCATTCATTAATTTTCTTTTCGGCTTAATCT